CTTTTTTTTCTCAATAAAGTAATAAATGTATTTATTTAAATTAATGTTTGTTAGGTGATTCATTAGCCAACAAGCACCCTCCTCCTTCCTCACTCTTCACACCTCATACGAGCAGGTAGTCAATTTAGTAGTCAACTCGTATTATTTCTGCTCCAATTCCAAGGGGCCTCGCAATCCCTAGTTGCCGCTTCCAGTCCATTAGCTGGCTGCACAAATGTTCGAATTAACCATTCAGACAGCAAACAAGCTAAGCTCATTAGAATTGAGAATCGAGCAAAGGCAAAAAAGCGCCGACTGGCACTTCAACCGATTCTAGACCATCAAGAGTTAAGCATTTTGATGTGGCCAACAGACAACAAACACAAAGAAGAAGAAAAGTGTGGCACGCAGCTGTGTTGGCCACAAAAATTGATGTTGTAGCTGTTGTTGTTGTTGTTGCTGCTTAGGTGTGAAGTGACGCCTACAACAAGAGGCGAGCACTTTGTGTACTTTTTTTCTGCTTCTTCCTCGACTCAATTTAGTGCCGCACGTCGCCTTTCCAAACCAGGTCTCGGCAGGCATTCGTCGTGGCCAAAAACGTTGATTGAATGCCCGGAGATTGTTGAGGATCGTGTCGGAGTTTGGGAGCTTGTAGTCTGTAGTCTATAGTCTCTAGTTTTGTGGCTCATAGTGAATGGACTTTTGGCTGCATTCGTGCTCGCATTTAGCTCTGCATATTAAGTAATAGAACTGTTTGCCGCTGTCTGTCTCTGTCTTCATCTCTATCTCCATCTCTGTCTCTCTGTCTGGTCTGTTGTGAGCACTTCAAATGGCGTAACTACACTCTGTCCATGCTTATATGACTACTTGGATGCTGTTCAGATTTGAGTTGTTGCTGTTGCAGTTGCCGCAGCAAGTGGCAAACGATGTGCTTAACATGCCACATGTTGCAAAAGGGCTTTGCTAGGTTTTTTTTGTGCTCAGCTTTTGCCACCTTCAAATGTCATTTGACTGAAATAATATACATATATATATTTTGTATACACCAACTTGCCTTTTGTATAACTTTTAAATGCTATCTGAGCCATATTTTTATTTTATACATCAATTTACATTTTGTATAACTTTGACAAAAGAGACTCAAGCTAAAAAATTTATTCATAATTTTTTTGATTTTAATGTTATGTTCCTCTTGATACCACTTGATAAGTCAAGAGTGTGTTTAACAAGTTTTCATATAAATAATAAGCATGAAATGCAGTTCTCCTTGAGCTGTGGATACATCTGCGAAAACCACTTGCCAAACTCCTTTCTTGCCCTCGGAAGCTCTTTTTAGCCGTCTGATTGTTGGCGCTTTTGTTGCCGTTATTAATGCAAAAGCGCGTTTTATATACCCTGTATAAACTGAAAAGGTATCAGGGAGGTATTGCCTTTTGTTGGTGGCGGAAGGCGTGACTGACTCAAATATGATCATAATATATATATAATATATATGTATGATATTCTATATTTTATTTATTATTGATATTTTCTGTATTTTCAGCTATCTGTCTAGTCCATCTATAAGATCTTGGAATGTATGAGAGAGATATTGATTTTATGGGCAAGAAAACATTCACTAAGTGATAGCAGACCAGATTTAAAGCTTCTTCTTTAGTTTTGTTCACCATTTCTTTATATATTTATATCATCTTAATATTCAGCTCAGCTATATTTCACAAATATTTGACATTAAACTTAGTTTTTTGTTCACATCTCAAATATCTTAAAAGCTAAAATTACCAAACTTTATATATGTAATCCCAGGATTCAATTTTCCTCTATCGAAAAATATTTTCTATATACCCATTCACACAAAAATCCAGAACAGAGACGGACTTTTGTAGAGCAAGACATAATATGGAGGGTATTTTCTAGTCTGATATGACCATCATCTCATTTAAGCAGGAAATGATGCTACATCGATAACAACAACAACAACGAAGACAACTGCATTTCAGAGGCAATTTGGTGTGGACAGTTGGGACTGTTGGACAGTGGGGCCAGTTGCTCGCTTAACGAGTGCCATACCTGAGCTACACACATATACATACATATATTGGTTGCTTATATTCGCCCTTTGTTCGACTGAGAGGTTTTTAATAAAAATGTCAAGATAGTGAGCCGGCTGTGCCGCAGGGTCCAAGCCGACAATGGCGACAATGAATTGCAATTTGCGAGCCGTTGTCCTTGAGTGGTTGCATCAGTGGCTGCCCTCGTGGAATGCAGCGAAGATCTCTGGCGCAGGCGTTGAAGTGTCCACTTGACGACATGGCTTGGGAACATATGTGTGATTGATGTATGCTCGAAAAATCAAAACAAAACAACGGCCAACGGCGCTGATTCTGCGGCTTTGTCTGTGCCAAAAGTTGTTTGCCCAAGAACCGCTTCAGTCAGTCTTCAGTGGGGCATTGAACTTCGCGCCAAGTCGGCTTCGGTAGCACGCACTTCATCCACTTTGTGCGGATCAGAGTGCCAAACCACTTACGAGCATCAGCGCCTATGGCTTCCACTCACGGCACACGGCTCACGGCTCACGGCTCGCGTATCCAAAATGGTGCTGGTCACACCCAGCTCAAGTGGTCAAACACACCCACCCAAAGGCAAAGAATATGCTAATGTTAGAAACGAAACGAAACGAGCTGGAAAGAAACCCACAACAAATATGTAGTTGGATAGCTCAGGGAAAAAAAACCTTGTTCTTCTGCCAAAGTTCACTTAATTACAATAAAAGCAAGAAGAAGGCAAAACGCTTGAATAGCCAAGTCTAAACTGAAACTAGTTTTCAATTCACAGTTTGCTTTTTCTTTTCTGAATATACTTTTTACAGTTTTTAGCTCTATTTTTAAAGTTCTGCAAAAGGAAGGCATATATTATAATATATTTTAAGAAAGTTGCCTAACTTGACAAATTTCCAAGTTTTTTTTCGATGACAGAACTTGGTTTTCTTGAAATACATATGAACAGTCATATTTGAGCTGAGCATGAAAAACTACCAGCGATTATACACCAAAATTCCCCGCTTCACCAAAATTTGTTGTTATGTATAATTTGAAATTTTAATGAAATAATATGTAAGTAAGAAAAAAAACGAAATAAAGAACTCATATCTATATTCATAATCTATATAAAATTATTAACTGAAATAAGAGCACGTTGAACTTTCAGCCTCTTACAGCATCAATTACTAAATATAATTTGAACATTTATATTCTTACAACATGACTCAACGCTTCTCTCATTCTGGGAGCAACAACACCTATAGATCCGCCTTTAAACTTATGTTGTAGTGAGCAGAGCTTAGCTCATAATCTCCTTTTCAAGTAGAAAGAATTGCAAACTTGTTATATAGTCAGAAATTATTTATTTATGAATACGTTTTTTCCCCCTACAAAGTAAATGTATAGTAAATATTAAATATTTACGCAATACGCTAAAATTAAATGTTCGATATACTTTTCAAGCACACCTCGTATTACAATTGCTGCAGTTAAATCAAATTATTCTGTCTTCAGTTACAGCCCAAGATTTTACAGAGCACTGTAAAGCACTTACCCATTCGCTATGTAAACTACTTACAGTGCTCTGTAAAATATTCAAAGTGCTCTCTCTGTAAACTCTTCCATGAAAGCTCTGTAAACAGTTACAGTGCTCTGTAAAGGCTTCAAAAAATGATAGAAACAACTGTTTTTACAGTGTCTTACCATTTTTACAGAGGAACAAAATGTTTATATTCAATTCGTTCGTTATCTGGAAAGCTTTTGCTATAACTGGAATATTTATATTTTATATATTTTAATTGCTCGCATTGATTCATTTATGTAATATTCCATTCGCTTATCGTTCCACCAATTTACTTCTTGATTTCAATTCACAATTGTGCAATTGACAATAACAGCAAAAAGTGTTTAATGACAGCTTAAGAGAAAAAGGGCTAGAAAAAATGAGACCTTCAAGCTGTTGAAAATACTTGGCAATAGGGCGTAGCTGTGCAAATGTTAATTCCGATTTGGGTGTATTATTTTCATTAACTAAATTTTATGTTTGCCATTTGCGCTCGGCGATTGGCAACAAAACGGAAATGCCAAGGCACTCGAAATGTGCCCAGCCGACATTTATGGGTCAAGGATTTGTTGGCAGCTGTAAACAATTTGGTCACACTTGATTGGCTCTACCTGAGCAGGGCGCCGAGTTCACCTGCAGCGCCCAAACACAATTCCATATGCCATTGCACAGCACACCTGGCCAACTCCAAAAATCTATTTTCTTCAAGCTTGACTTGGCTCCAGGCTGTGGCCTAACGCTCCTGTACACGAATACCAAATACCAAGTACTTCAATAACCATTCGAGTCACTAGCATGATTCATATATATACATACATACGTGGCCTGGGGACTCTTTTCTGATGCATTTTGTTTGCTTTAATTGAGTGACTCTTTAACAGAGGCCAGAGGCAGCAGCGAGCTAATTGTGGGAATTTCGCTCATGACGAACTTCCATTATCAAAAGAGCTGACTCGACTTTTGAAACCTTTGCTCTTGACGAGCAGAGCAGAAAATGAAACAGCTATCAATTTATGACTTTAAACTCCAACTCCAGCAATTCGGTGCGTAACGGAAACTGAGCTTCAAACAAATTACTAAAACTCCATTAAACAAGGTTGGATATTTTCTTACTATTCACAAATTATATTATTTATGTTTAGGAGATATATGATATCTTGTATAACGAAATTGGTGAGGCCTACAAGGCTGGAGTTTTCGGAATTAGAGAAATAAATGAGGAAAAAGTAGATGGATTTTTATCATTAATAAATAAATGAGATTAGTTTTTGATAATAAATATGATCCAGGTAGAGGGAGGACTCACGATAAAGATATACTTAAACTCGCAGCAAGCTCTGCCAAATATATAAATAGAAGATCCTATATTATAAGAAAGAAATCCAACATACTGATATATACATATACATATATTCAAATACTTAAGTATCGATATTTATTATGAATTTCAGCGCCATAAAAAAACGTCAACATAAACCTGCCTGCCCCTCGTTTAAGGCCATCAACCAGCGACATTTAAAAGCCGTACAAAACGTACTTCAATTTCGATTTACTTTCGCCCAATGGGTCGAAAATGGCAACGCTCTAGGGGCCAGGCCCATGGCTCAGCACTCAGCACTTCCGTTAGTAGTCAACGCTTTCTTTTTTTTCGATTTTGCTTATGATTTATGGCCTGTCCACTTGGTCGAATGAAATCAAAGTTCGTTGTTCTGCAGCCAGGCAGGCAGCAAAGGTGGCACGAGGGGGCGGGGTGAGGCCAGCCCAAAGCCCAGTTTGGAAGCCATAAAAAGTAACAAACCACCGACAGAGGGGACCGACCAGCTGCAGAGTCAGTGGCACAGTTGCAACAAGTTGCGGTAGACGCGAAAGTAAAGTCACAAAGTGCAAAAAAACAAGAAACAAAATAACAAGAGTGTTTTAGTAGGGTATACGCGACCAGCAGCTGTCCTGGAATGAAAATGGCTCTTAAAAGTTTAAAGATATTTAAAGAGTTGGGAAAATTATTTAAAAAGTCAGTTATTTGATATTTGCTATACTAATGGAGAATAGTATTACTAATTAGATGACTCAAGAAAGCTGAAAGCCCTAGCAGACAATATATTAGCTATAGTTAGTAATTTCAATTAGTTTAAAATAATATCAATAAAATAATTGAGTCAAGAACTTGAAATGTGCTAAAATATCTCCATTATCGTTTATCGACTTTAATAGATTTCAATTGAATAATAAGAGTTATAGATTAGAGAACCTGATCTGCAGGTGTCAAGAGAGGCTCCACATAATATATAAAGCCTTTAGCCCCCATAGTTTCTAAGATCATATAGGTAGACTTCTGTTTGTGTTTGGGGGCACCACATTTATTCACCTGCCTTATCAAAAGTATTTATACTTAATCACATCTTGCACGATCAACTCTGCCTCTTGGATAAATTGTAACACAAATAATATACCCAATTTATAGCCGAACCACAGATTTGGAGTAGATACATATGAAACAAAAAAACAGATAAGAGAAGGCGATTGAGGAAAAGTCAGAGCAAAACATACAGAAGAAACGTCAATTAAAAGGAAAAGCGAAAATGTGCAATGCAGCAAAAGAGAAACGTGCAAAATAAATGCGTTCAATGCACCCAGAGTGCGGCACTTGTGCATTTGTGGGCGTGGCAGGTGAGGTAGATACACAGATATATAGAGAGAGAGAAGGAGCTACAGGCAGAGGGGAGGCAGCAGACACTGTCAATCGTCACTGATCGTCGTCATGAGTCATGGAAGAAACGCGTAACGATTTGCATAAAGCAATCAGTGAAGCGCATATACATACATAGATATATATTGTATATATAGACATGTGTTTATATCGCCAAACTTGGCTCGTGCTGTTAGCTGAAGCGGAAGTTGTAGGCGCAGAAAGTTAATAAGAAAAACTATAAGAAAAACGAAATGAAGGAAAACAACTTGAAATGAAATTGGCAACGTAAAAGTGTAAACAAATTAAATGACCAAATGAGCTTTAGGGGAAATTAAGTTTATCTATGCATATATTCAAGTATGTTTATGCCTAACTAGTTTAAACTTTAAAGATTATTATTAATATTTTTTATTGCTGCGACATTTAAAAATTATGTATATATCCTGTTGAAACTGAATATAGCGAAAAACAAACATTTATTCATACTCATTGAATGTAAAAAATTATCAATTTTTATAGCAATATATGTATATTTATATTTACTATATTCTTTTAAAATGTATTTTCAATATATATGTTTAGGTTCTTTTAAAATATGTTTTCAAGTGATATAAAGCTTAAAATAATATATAAAACAGATTAGAATAAAATTCAATTCGAATCGAAAATTCAATAAAAGATTTCATCAATATAAAGAAAATAAATAACTGCATATCAGAATTTTATCCAGTCAGAAGTAAACAATTTGTTAATTGGCCTCTGCATTTTGGTATTTTGACTCAGATGTCTGGTATGCAAACGTATCGAGCCTATCTATAGACAGCGAATGCGCCCACTTGTCATGCACAAATGCAGAAGAATGCAAAGCTGTGCAAATTACCATACGAAACTCAATTTTATCAATGGGGTCGGCCGTAAAAAACACACCCAGAAAATCGAAGAAAAAAAAATATACCAAATAAAAAATTGCTGGTAACGAAAATATTCCGAAAAGTCAAGCAAAAATGTCAACCAGACGATGGATGCAAAAGACCTTTTGCTTGAATTACAAAAAAAAAAAAAACATCTGAATTACAAATTGAAGCAAATGACATTTAAGAAAAAAAATCGAGAAAAAAGTAATATTAAACTTAAATATATAATAACTGAATTATATACTAAAAAATAACAATCAAATATTAAACGAAAAAACAAAATATTTATTAATATTTCTATTCAAGAAACTGCTGATATCTATATAAATGTTATATAAAGTTTGTTTTTTTTTTTTTTTTTTTTTTTTTTTTTATATACTGCCTGCATATATATCTATATATTAAGTTTAAAGTAGTCATATTAAAAATAAAAAACTAGTTCATACAAATTTAGCTTAGGTAGTCAAAAGTCCCTCGATCTCTATCGCTATCTCTCTCTATAAGCTCTACCATTAGCAGTTGCTAACTTTGCCGAAGACTTCGGCAGATATTAACCATGAACCTTCCTTTTGTTTCGATGATTTATGGTGAGAATTTGTTGTTAGCTTGGCACATTGAGTGTATGTCTTACCTGAAACGAATAGAGAAGCAGAAAAACAACAGTTAAAAACAAAATATATCAAATATAAAATATACACAAAAAAATTATAACATAATTTTTTTAAAAACTAAGTTGTTTCACATTTATTTTTAGTTTGTAGATTCTGGGGCGTGGCAAAGAAAAAAAAAATAAGAGACAATAGAAGGTCATTTCAGCTTTTGAGCTGCACCTGACACAGCAAGCGGAACAGTTAAAACTGGAGAAAGAGCTGCTTTATCGCTATCGGGGCATTGTTATATCATTAAGTTGTTCATTATACTATGTGGGCCTGTCTCGCATTATAAGGAACCAAAATGCCAAACAAAAGCGAGTGAAGAGCACAAGTTCACAGGGTAGACGGTCAAGGTTAAAGCTAACATATTTTTATTGCTCGCTCTTGAAGTGGGAAGAGAGTATATGGGTTTTCTGTTAAGCTATATGTCTGTCATTTGGAATATAAAGAGTAGGGTTATTTAGAGGAATTTTATACATATATGCAGGTATACTAGATATGCATATAGTAAAATTTACCCTAGATTTAAAATCAGAGCCAGGAAGAATCGCCTTTGGATTGCTCTCAATATGTTTTTGGGTAACTCTGATCATGGTTACTTATAGATCTATAAATATATACATTATAATCTATAAATATCATACTGTGGTAATAAAGATTCTATTAGGGATTGCAAAGCTCAGTAGAGTCCATTGCCTGACTAATTTGATAAGAGCAACTATACTTGGAAAATTGTATGCATTAGAATATAAATAGCATTACATTCAAGTATGCCACTCACTTTACAAAATGGAAATCGAGTAGCCCAAGTAATGCTTGAGTGACTCGCCTTAAGCACTCTCTAGCTCGTCTCGAATCAAACATGTAGATGAATTGCATTAGCTTGAAGCAGAGCACATCAAACCGAACCTAACCAAACCTAACCGAACGGAGCCAAAGCACAATTCACAGCCAACAATTGCAGTCATAAACGTGGACAAGTAATTGCTGTTCCACTGACATCTAACCCACGGGCAAACACAACCTGAGAGACGGAGACCCGTGCCATAACATACTTAAATAAATATATAAAGCTGACACAGAGCAGAGCACGGGGATGGGGCAACCACAAACATGATAATAAATAAAGGCTGGTCATGCCACGCCCGCACAAGTCACTGGACATGCTGCCAAGATGTTGCAGGCAGCAATTGCAACGGTGCAGAGGGGAGTGGGGGAAGGTAGCAAGGTATGCAAAAAGGTATGTTAGTTGTGATGGGATGATATATTTACGCAGAAGCCTATAATACTCTATATACTCTATAACTGCATATATTTTAAATTGTTATTTATTTATAAATCTTAAAGAACTAAGGATCTTAAATGAAGCCTCATTACTGTGGAATATAGAAATATGATTTAATTAAAAAAAGTTTGCAGATATACAAAGGTATTCAACTATACTCAAGTACTACTGTAGGCATATAATGAGTAATATATTGATATAGCAAAGGTTTATGATCTCTATGGAGAACTGAACTCTTAAGATGCATTATAAATTTATGAGTTTCTACAAGTATAACTTTAATTCATGGATAATGGATAATATGATTTATCTTAATATGATTTATCATAAAATTCTATATTAAAATGTGCTACAGATCTGTGCTGCTTCATAGTTCTGTCATCTGTGTTTATAACTTTCACTTTACTTTGTTAGTGTATTTCAAGCTTCGATTTTAGTTGGCAAAGCTATGTTTCATTCAACAAGCTGCCACTGCCCACATGACCAAGATGTACAACAAACAACAACAAGCAACAAGCGACAAGCAACAAGCAACAAGCAACAACATTCGAGTCGGGCGTCTCAAATGCGTTTGCTGTTTTTGGTAATAAACGAAGCGTTAAACAAATTGCATTACAGCAACTACAACAACAACAACTACTACAACAACAACAACACTGTATATAAGTTGTTATTATTGTATGCAAAGCGTCATAAATGAGGGCGCTTGGCTGCATCGCCGCCTTGGGCGTAATTACATCAACTATCAAATATGGTCAAAAGAGCGAAAAATTATCGCATATATTGTTGTTACTGTTGCTGTTGTTGTTGTAATAATAGCTGTACCAACACAGACCACAACAGCAGCAGCAGCAGCAGCAACAACAGCAACAACAACAACAACAACATAGAGCAACATGGGAAATGCCAGACAAAATATCAAAGACAAAATGTGGTTGGAAAATTTCAAAACAACATTTTTTTTTCTTTCGGCTCTAGAGATTTTCTAGTTTTGGCCAATGCAGGAAAAATTATGATAATTATGAAAGCAATTTAAACTTGATTATGACCATATGGCCAGTTATAAATAGAGCTATTATAGTTGATTAATGCCATAAGTGTCAAATGTAGACAAATTGAAACTCCAACAAGTTATTGAAATGCGAAGCTAGAGTAATTCTGACACATCAATATATAAAAAACGTAGTCTTATATATATTTTAAATATAATAGAATTAAAATGCATAAGAATCCTAGTTTTCGAAACAATAAGCTGCAAAATATTTAAATAAAATTAGTTGTAATTTTAAAATTTTTGAGCTACAATTAGTTCTTAGATCAAAACACAGATCTAAAATTCAAAAATAATTATTTTCTAGATCAAATACAAGCAAAATACAACTAAATAAACTGTCGTCTAAAAATTGCGAATTAAAATTAGTTTTTAAATTAACTTGTATTTCAAATTAGATCATGATCAACTTTTATAGCAATTAGTTTAAAGAGACTTTGATATAAAAATGCTGTTTTCGAAATAGGTATAAAGATCATACTAATGCCTAGACTAGTAGATCTTGAATCAGTGCACACACAAACTATCATGGACCTACGAAACAAATTTGATTTATCAGACAGTACGATCAGGCCCATTTGTGGTATGTAAGCGCGCGCACAACATGAAAAACTCGTTCGATGTGGTAAATTATTATAGCGAAGGCCCAGCGCACAAACATATAAATCAAGTTGAAGTCGAGACAACAAATTGCAAAAATCAACTGCAACACAATTATATCCAATAATAATAGAGCACTGCGATCCATATCTATCTAAGCAGCTTACAGCAAAGGAAACTGATCGAATTATAAGTCAAGAATCAAGAATCGTACAGACTGAAGCGAAAAAGGAAAGGGATGAGGAAGTAATTTATAGAGCAAACTATATAATTTTATATTACATTAAAAGTTATATAATTAGGTAAATGCCCTTCCATGCAGCCCCCCTTTTATATGGGTTTTTCTTGGGTAAATTTAAGCAATTGATGTGAGTTTACATAAGCTAATTAAATTCACACTAAAAGTGTTTAAAGAGCTCAAGCAGGTTTTAAGCTTATTCAAGATTTACAAATTAAGATCTCGAGGGCTGCGTACTTGAGGGCTCTAAAGTCCAATAAGTTTACACATTTACAAAAGGGCATTAGGAGGGGAGAGCTGAAAGTCTTGCGGCGATTGCTTAAGAAAAAATGCAATCAGCCAGCGTAAATGACATTGAAATTGCACAACAAACAGCGACGAACGGACACATCGTTAGCCCAGGCAGGGGCTTAGCTGTGAGCCATTCGATCAGGTAAGCTGCAGACAGGTGTCGCTGGGTGGATCCAACAAAGCTAACTAGCTGTAGGGTACAACGCGCAATTCGCCATTGCGGCTTCAGTTGAATGAACTGAAACGCCCACAGCTTCCAGCGTGGCTAACGGCGGGGGCGTGTAGCAACGGCTCTCTGGACAGCTAGACGCTTACTACTATATATACAAATCAGCCAAAGAGCCAGCTCAGTCGCTAAGCCGCCGAGTTCAAAGCCATGTCGTCTTTACGGGGCATATGTTGTTGTCGCCAGCTGTCACCAGATAGCATCGATAAGGCCGGCAACAAATAAAACCTAGACAAGCGTCTCCAAGCTCATAACTTGCACGTCGATCTACACCATAAAATCTAGCCGAAGCCGAATTCGCCAACAAAAATCTCATTAACAATTGCCGAATAGTGGATGCACTGCAAAAGGCAAATTGTTTAATTATTAATAAAGTTAACTTTTAAAATTTATAAACCAAATTTTGTTGAGGCTTACATTTTGTGATATTATAATCGAGCTAGGACTTTATAAAAGATAGCTTTCGAGAGAGATAGATAGTTATGGCTATTTCGAATAATTCAATAATGGTTTCTCACATAATCCATAAGCGCAATAAAAAATTGTCTATAACCTCTGCATGACTATAAAAGCAATCAAGTATATATACAAAATAGCACTAGCAGTTAGTTTAAGACCTAACTCAATATACTCATACTTGGCCAACAGTTTAATGGGCTAATAATAATTTTTCCAAGGCTTGCAAGCCAATCAAGCCATTATGATTGCCCACAATTTGTGAGGGTACGTTAGCAGAGAATTGTCATGCACATAAGGAATGATTCATAAGAGCCATGATATCGTGCTGCGTCCTATCGAATGGTCTAAGCAATTTGTCACAGGCAGAGGCAGAGGTTATCAAAGATAGATATATACACAAATGTATATATATATATTGTATATAGAATAGTCTGCAAGTGCATCGCATTGAATATATATACAGAGATGCTTGGCTAGAGTATCGACAGTGTAGCGGTTGAAAAGCGGATGTCGGCACTTTTTGGCGGCAAAATTTATGTTGACCCAAACGCGGGCAGCCGTTTTCATGGCCCATGGCAACTGCGAGCGTCGAACTGTAAAATTATAAAGATGCGCCGCCGACAAACGGAAGCGCGTGTTAGGAGTACAGGGCCAACACCAAGCTGGCAGCTGTCAGGGAAACTTACAATTAATCGAACTTCGGAATTGTAGTTTCTCGAGGAGCACTTGGTAATATCATATTGAATGTGAAAATAGTTCAGCCATCAGAGTGTTGCAATAAATTGTTGGGTAATTTCATCAGATTATAGGAAAAATTAAAATTAAACTGGTTTCCAGCTGCAGTTCTAAAAAAGAATGTCATTAATAATCTATAAAAGTTCGTAAGTACAACTCACCACAAAATTAAGAAGACTTCGTATGAATAAATACATTTAAAAAAAAAAATTTTTTTTATAGTTTGCCAATTGACGACTAAGTGCAGCAACAACTACAAAGGGAAGCACAACATTAATCCAGCCAACGTTAAAATGGAAGCTTACCATTAATCTGAAAGGCATCGAACTTGCCAATTGGAACTCTATAAAGATCTGAGACTATCGCCAATAGAGCTACCAGAGAGAAACTAATCATTAATCTGGCAGACTAAGTAAAACATAACTTACCTAATAGGTATTAAGTATCTGTGGGGCAGCGCAACTGGAGTTTCTCAAAGTACTCTATAACTAAGTGCGGATACATGTCAATGATAGAACAGAGTGACACAGCATCGGGTGTTGTGAGTGTTTTCCACTTGACCACCAGATAGGTTTCGCCTCGCATCTTGAACACCTTAAGGATTTTCTCCAATGTCAGTCCACGTTGGAGGCCCTGGACGCGAGCTTGTAAGTTTAGTGCATCATCCCACCTGCCCATTTCGTGGAGTCGATAATCGCATTCGGTTTGAGCAGGTGCAGCGTTGCTGCTGCTTTCGGCACTTGTGGTGCTGGCAGGGATCTCCTTCGGTACTTCGGACAGGTTTGGTAATGGAGCTGGTATGTCTTGTGTATGCTCAACTGTCAAGGCCTTAGATTTGTTAGATTTGGAACTCTTTTTTGGAGATGTATCCATAGTCAGCGGCAGCGCATCAGAGCGACTTTTCTTCGATGATTTCGGTTGACTTTGCGACTTTTTTTTGCGCTTGCTGCTCTCCTCATCTGAAGCTCCAGGCTTCTGGGATGATTTATGTAAATTATCGCTTGCATGCTCATTGTTCTCCTTCATATAACACGAACTTTTGGATAAATCCTGCACATCGAGATTGGCTGTCGACATGGGTTCCACCTTTGAGTTTTTCACAGTATCGGGATGATTTAGATCCATGACAGAGCTTCGTTTATAAATATTTTTCGAAGCAATATTTTTATCATTTGTTTTAACAGGTTGTTCTGATTGGGACAGGTCAAGTGGTTCAAATTGCGATAGTGGTACTGATGGGTCCAATGGCTTAAGTGATGGACGTGGCACATTTGTTGCAGCTGGTTTAAGTGATGCAATTCTTGCAAGAGGTGGAGTTGCTGCACGTGCAGGTGGAGCAAGAGACGATATTGGTGGCTTATGTGCAGCTAGAGGCGGCTGTGTAAGTAAAGGCATTGACACTGGCCTTATCTTAGGCTTCTTTGACGCCTCCGGTTTCTTCCTTGAAGCCGCTAGTGGCATATTTGGAGGTGCTGGTGGCATCTTTGGAGCAGCTGGTGGCATCTTTAAACCCGCTGGTGGCATCCTTAAGCCTGCTGGTGCCACTGGTGGCATCTTTGGAGCCGCTGATGACACTGGTGGCATCTTTGGAGCCGCTGGTGCCACTGGCGGCATCTTTGGAGCCGCTGATGTTACTGGCGGCATCTTTGGAGCCGCTGATGTTACTGGCGGCATTTTTGGAGCCGCTGATGCTACTGGCGGCATCTTTGGTGCCGCTGGTGCCACTGGCGGCATCTTTGGAACCACTGGTGCCACTGGCGGCATCATTGGAGCCGCTGCTGCCATTGGCAGCATCTTTGGAGCCGCTGATGGCACTGGTTTCGGCAGTGATGTGGGGTTATCATCAGAATCACCATCGCTGCTTAGATTAGGTTTGGGTGGCAAATTCAGATCGCTAAGAAATGCACTGGACGTAGGCTTAGATTTTGGATTTGGCTTCCGACGCTTAGCATCATCGCTGTCACTGTCGCTACCGCTGCTGTTACTGCTGCTGCTGCTGCTGCTACTGCTGCTGCCACTGACACTTTCCTTATCGCTGTCATTGCCGGCGCAGTCGCTGCTGTCGCTACTGACCATAAGATCCTGACATAAATCTGAAGACAGATCTGGTTGATTCATTGGTTCAAACTTCTGTTTTGGCTGCTGCTTCTTTTGCTTCTTTCGCTGCTGAGGCTTCTGTGTCTTTTTATATTCCATTTCTTGCTTCAGTGGGGATGAGTCAACAACACCCTGACGTCGGTCTGACCCTCGAGTTTGAGCGTTTAACTTTGCAAATTCAGCTGCCTCGAAGTCCGCCAGCATTGACAGACAATCACCGCTCAAGTTCTCAATGGGCTCCCAGGTGCTTTGCTGTAATGGATAACCGACCCATTTTAACAATAGTTGCGGTCGCCCATCCGCGTAGCGTTTGGCCAATATTTGTTCGACATTGTGCGTCCATTTAGTTGGCTTTTTAGCCTTTCCCCAATTCAGTTTACGCTTTTTGGCAGAGCGATTGGCCGCAGATGAGCCAGAGGGCAAACCGTCAGACATTTCTAATGCAAATTCATATTGGATAGCACAAAACGTGTGACAATTTGAATAGGATAATGGATGCACGGACAGACAATCACAGTTTATATAAATGCAACAATTTAACTTACCTGACGTTTAGCAGTAAAATCAAATGAGGAAAAATTTTAACTTAAAAGAGAGAAATTAGAAGCGTCTTTCTTTCAACTCACACGCAATAAGAAATATGTCTGCCTAGCGATGCCAGATTTCAAAGTTCAAATATCGATAACAGAAGTGTGACATCTGACAAAGCGCTTTCTCAGTCTTTATCTACTATCGATAGACAGTTCACAATGAAATTAAATGAAAGAATTAAAAACATAACAGAATGACAATGTGCCTTGGTAGGTATAGTTTCCGTTAAAATATATAATATCTATTTTGTATTTAGTAGCAAACTATGTACGTATGTACATACATATACCCTATGTTGGTTTAACAAAAGGCGCAAGCAATAAAGGAGAATGAAATTACATTTATGTATGTATGTACATACCTATGTATGTATATGTGTATAATTTTACATTTCATGCTCTTTTTCGAACCCAGCGAATCAGACGGCTAACAAATTATATTACAATTGTATGAAAATACTTTTCTATATTAAAAAAAAAAAAATAAAAAGCAGGGTATTTTCAAAGCGTATACTCTAGTAAAACAACTGTAGGCTTACTTTTTTTTCGAACTCCTTTTAGAGCGCAAAAACTGCAAAAGCAATTGCACTTAACTATAGCGGAAATAATGTGCACTGCATACGAAAAAAAATGCAAGTATTTTAATTGGCCATTGGCATAAATGCCAGCATGTTGATTTTATACATTATCTTTTTGTTTTTTTTGGCATGTTTCTACAATGGCATGGCTCTATGTTAATGTAACTTTTCACTGCTACAAAGCGAGTTTTGCATGCACGTGTGTGTGTGTATGTTGTATGCATGTGTGCGTAGCCATAGTTCGTGGACAATGTCATTGGAATGTTTCTCATCATTAAAGCGCTGAAAACCGCAAATTAAGAAAAAGAAAACCCGCTGCCAATTACTCAAACATGTGTGAAGTCAACAAATAAATAAACTTTACTTTCCGCTTGTTTTTATAGGGCTAGTTATTTGTTATATTTGACTGCGTACTAGACTTGTTTATCAACTCTGAAAGCTCATGTGTGACAGTTTCATAAAAGAGATCGCTAGAGGGACAGAAAGAGAGAAAGAGAGAGGCAAAACGGCAGACACTTGATTAACCTGCTATGTTTTTGTGCCCACTTCTTTCACTTTCTTTCAGCATGCAGCAGCCACACATGTGTACATACATATCTTTAGCGGCATCTCTATCTAACACACTTGTGTGTGCATGTGTGCGTGTATATTTTAATTCGATCAAATTAACAATGTGACGAGCATGGCTGGAAAAAGTGAAATGGCGCACATTTTGAGTGCTACAAGGGTAACCTCAAGGGTTTTCAAAGTCAGCCCATGAGCAGATTCACTTTCGTTTTCTTTATTGTTACAAAATATCAGCAGCTCTCTATAGACAATCTACTCACACACACGCACACCGACGTACTTGTGTACATATTTAGTGTTTTAATTTGCATAGTTGTTGGCAAAAAAAAAAAAAAACAAAAAATGCGCTCAGAAACTTGTTTGTTGTTTTTTGTATGGTAACACGCGCGACAAAATGTTAGTATATGAAATGAATATAGATTTCCAAGAGTTGTATTTCTTGATTTCGAATTAATAAGTATTATGCATATGTATGTATATTTATCTGCCTATGTGTCTGTATGTATGTTTGTTTGTTTGTTTATATGTAAGTTATTCCACAGAGCTCATCAGCTCTTCATTAGCTAAGTTAATTTCATTAGCGTTGTTTTTGTTCGACTTGCTTACCATAGCTGATTTTTTTTTTTTTTTTTTTTTTTGGTTTTGTTTTGTTTTTATTTTACTGAAATTCATATGCTCTCTGCGGTTTTTACGCTGCTTTGATTTCTGTTTCGGTATTGAATTTGATGTTAGTAGAAAGGTTTTGTCATCTTTTGTTTTTGTTGTAGATTCGTTACGTAAGAATATTTGATTTACATACAAGCATAGCTTTGTTTTCTATCAATTTTGAAATGGTCGTTGGGGCAGTCATTCAGTCTGCTGTATCATTTAATCAGTTTATAAATTATGTCAATATATAATTATATCATGTTTTACATATTTGTTTGTAAATAATATATGATTTCTAATCAATATTAATTATGTAAAGATTAATTACACATTTTTCAATAATCGTGACAACGTGATGTGCCTCTTTGAATAGGCCATCTTTAGTTTTGAACATGGTGGCATCTCTGCGACCGAGGCAAAAAGAAAGGATAATTGAGAAGAGAAAACGAGAATTCAAGACAAGCAACAAGTGCAAGCGAGTTCGAAACTTTGTCAGTCCTTCATATTGCATTCGAATTCGAATTTTCGAAAAAAGGTTTATCACAGCTAAAAGCAAAGAACAAAGCAGTTCGTTCATCACAACTCGCTTTGATTGCATTCGCATTTAACCGTTAAGTCAACAAACAACTTGTAACGCATTGCACACAGGATGACAATGATTTTATTGACACATTGACATTATAACACACTTATAAAGCGAAGTCATCTTGTTACAACAATCGTCGTAAAAGGTTGCCGAAAAAGGGGCGAAAAACAACGGTAACTTTGAAGAGGCAAATATATGCAGGTACACATGTATGCATTTATGTATGTACAAGTTTGCGTAAATAAATACATACACACATATGTACACATATGTATTTAAGTAGTATGTATTTTAGTATTTAAGTATTTATTTAACGTTTTTATTTTGTTAATATTTGTATAAGTTGTGGAGAGTTAAGCTTGAGCTGCGGAAGTACGTGTTTTATTTGTTTGTGAGCTTATTATTGGTTAAGTTTTCTTTCTTTCTGTTGTTTTTTCACTCTTAGTTCTTCGTGACAAATGTCGACAATTCTTTATATTAAAACTCTTAATTTTTAAACACGCATTTCATATCATCTTTTTTTTTTGTATCTCTAGGCTCTTCAGCTGCTAGACCTCGACGGAGTTCCGGCTGGTAAAGGCCGAGATAAATTAGCATGACATGAATCAGCAGCAGAGGCAAAATACTGCTTTCAATTAAACATAAAATGGTACCTAAGAGATAACAGCGACAAAACAAGAACAACAACAACGAGCGCACGACTGTCAGACACTCTCTGTGGATTGCTTGATACGTGTGCAAACTCTTATAACTTGCGATATATGTTTACATAATGGAGATAAATATCGATGTGCAAAGGGAATACGGCGATCGATGATTTTGGGGCAAAGGACAAAAGCTACCGATGATTTGTCATGAGCGTGCAATATTGCATTGCCTGCGACAATAATCTGACTGAAAAGCCCGCAGGTTTTCAAAAGATTCAATTTTAATTTTTATTCGTATACCGACTTGTTGTGCGATGGTACGTAAATATAATTAAAAAAAAAAATCATATGTAAAACTCACTCACCTTGTGCGATGCTGCCGCTGACACAGCAAAAGACGATGAAGAAGCTGAGACTGACGCTGAGGCTCCACAGCGACGTCAGCAGCGACGCCGGCAGTGACGCCCGCTTTGGCTTGACAGGCATTTTTTGTTGTTGTTGTATATTTTGTAGCTTCAAAGTTATCCAAAAAGGTTTTTGTTTTTTAAATTTTGCAACTTGCTTGTAATTTTGTATTTCTTATCGTTGTATTTAGCAAAACAATTTGTAATTTATTAGCAATTTATTTGATTGCTCGGTATTTGCATTTTGTTGTTGTTTTTTTCTTTTTTCACATTTAATCAAATATTAGGCTACTCGTTTAACTGGTTTTTATTTATGTATATTTTGCTGTATATTTAAATTAAAAACACACACATAAAATATTGGCGAAGAATTCGATTTAGATACCGTTATAAAGTAATTAAAAGCGAAATTATGATTTCATTCCATTGTTCGATAAACGAAGAAAGTTCAAGGTTTATTTTAGGTATAAAAGTAAGAGGAAAATATGGGGAAAATTCTATATACAAATGTTGAGATTTGAAATGCGGAATAGATAATATATATATTACAAATTTTTGAATATATTTTTTTTTACATTTTTGTCCTTTTGCTTTGTCATTTCTTTATTTATAAACATTTGCTTGCAGCCATAAATTTAAGCTAATTTCTTAAAGAAACACAAAAGGTGTGAAACATGTTTCGATCCCACTGTCCGTAAACAGGGAACGCGAGTGAGGGAGAAAGATACTGGGAGAGAGTGAGGGAATGAGAACAGCGATTGCTGTTGACCTTCACTTATTACTTAATGTGTTTGTTGTTGCCGTTTTTGTTGCAAGCTTTTAATTAATATTTTTAATTAATAGATATTTTTTATTCTTCGGCAGTTTCTATGTGGGGAGGTCAGGCAAATCGAAAAGACTATGCTAATTTTCCATTGGCTAAGAACATAAACAAGCCTATGGTGCTTTTAATTGGCCAACAAGTGCAGTCAGGCAAATAAAGAAAAAATGAAGAGGCATGCACAGTGTGACCACACAGCGTGATTCAAGTTGTTAAAAACCAAACTTGATTTCAATGCAAAGTGAAATTTTCCACACATAATCATATATACAATCATACACACATACATATATGCATGCACATACACATACACGCATACACATATAAGTAAGAGCGCTCACTAACAAATTCGAACAACAACATCAGCCGTAATGACCGAGTGACTTTACTGTTAACTGGGCAAAGGGGGCAGGGAGTGATAGAGTGGGAGAGGAGTGCGCAGGGTTTTAGTCTGTGATGACGTTTGGCTCGAGCGTAATGCAAAATTACGCGCTTTGCATAAAGAAGTTGGCGAACGCACCGAATTCCGATTTAGAGCCGTGCTCTGCTAATGGAAACCGTTCGATGACCGAACAAACGAGCGATCGGCCATTAAGGTTGCGCCGGACGCACTTGTTCCTCTCAGGCATTCAAATACCAATACACTCACACGCACAATCACAGTTTCTATATTGTAGATATACGTAAAGCGCAGTCGAAATCGAAGTTGATGTCGAACCGTGGTCAACAACCGAGCTGAGACGCGTTTCGAATTGAACTAAAACTGAACAGAAGAATGGTAGCGCACAAACGGTGAGCGAGCAAAGCGACGGCAACAGAAAAACACGTTCCAGACACATGCAAGACAGCTTAAAAGAGAGCGAGAGCGGGAGAGGCAGCCGCAGCTGGAGAGCCGAAATGTGAGTGGGAGAGTTGAAAAGTTGCAGTTAAGCTAACAGCGCGTGGCTGCTTTTAGCACTCACATTAGGCCAAGACATGGGCTCTTGTCTGTTTGATTTTAGGGCTGTCAGGTGTTTAAAAGACTGCGAGATATTCCAGTACGCTAATTTTTTGAAATTTTTAATTTTTACATTTCCTATTAGCCAAAATAAAATATTTCCAAGTCGCCAATTTTAATGTGTTTATTGAATTAATTAGGTATAATAATTTATACGTAAATTGATTTTTATTGGAGTTGATACTTAATCAAAATATTTTACCTAGCGATGCATTTATACATTTATCTGTATGTTTCACAAAGGTATACAGCTATGTTTAAACTATTTAGAAATAATATTATGAGATGGCCAGAATAGTCAATACAACAACCCAGTATAAGATGATACTTCGATTTTCGTGCTTACTTAGCCAAGACACAAACCTTAGATGCAGCTTTTTAAAGTTTTAACTGATTTTGCCTAAGAATCTGAAATGAATATGAAATTAATTTTTAATGTCCTATAAAAATTAAATATTTTTGAATACAAATATATAAAAGTATGAATGCTTAAGCTTATTATATATTTCATAATATTTTATTTGTATATTTATAATTTCCGAAAATTGTTAATAGGAATCTTGATTTTTTGGCAAAAAAATTAGGAGCACCATTCCATTGTTCATGAACCATACGTATTGAGCGTGTTTATTAAATTATCGATATATTGAGCTTGTCATTAGAAAGCCTTGCTTAGGGCTATTTATTGCTGCGACACATCTCTAATTGTCTGCAGTCAGTCGATCCATTGACAAGGCTGCATAAGACGACGTACTGTGGAAATATGCTAATGATATGCGCCTAGCTATCAATCCAGATTCAACTCCAAACAAGAAAAAAAAAAAAAACTAAAACTGCATCGCATGCCGCATGGCCAATTTGTTCACCTGTAGCCCAGCGCTTGCAATGACTATGCAAGTTTTTGTTGACCCAGCCTTCGCTCTCCCTCCTTCTGGCTCTGTCATACATATTTATGTGGATAGGTGCTTACATGTGTGTGTGTGTGTTTGAATATTTACTGTTACAGCTTGAAGTTTTCGATATTTTCATTCAGCCGCCGGCAGCTGAACTTGACAGCTTTGAGACAATTCTTCGCGCAATTTCTTGTACAGCTTAAATCGAAATATTTGCGCCTGACACTTTTGATTTTTTTTCTTCCATTCTATTTTATTTTTCTGACACTTTCAGTATTCATCTCATATTCTTAAAACTGCCTTATTTTCATGTCATTTCTATTTGTATAAAAAACGCGAAAGATGCGCAAAGAAGAAAGATGCAAAACCAAGAATGAAGAGACTGAAGTCGACTAGAATATACCCTAAAGAAATGTCTAGAGTAGCGGATTTAATTAGATATGTATATTTACGACCGTGATGAAAATTGCAATATATTAACAATTATAATAAATTTTGTTGTATATGCATTTTAGGTATTTATTTAAAATTAATGTATTTTAATTAAATAAATATTATTTGTATGCAATATATTATTCTTCATAGATGGAAGAAATGCCCAAACATGTATAAACTGACTCAGTTGGATATCGAAATTGCCACTCCTCCTGTTACACGCATTAGCACAAAAGCAGCATACCCTTTTGCAACTGCGCTTAGGGTATTAAAAAACCGATTTATTTCGTGCATGTCTTTGACCTAGACAGTTGCGTTTTTTTCGATGAGTAATTGTGTGTGATGCTGTATAATATATGTGTGTGTGTGCGTATGTGTATAACAACGTGTTTGTGTTTGAATTTTTGGCAACTCAAGCTCCTTGAAGCTCTCCCTCTCAAAATAAACTACTCTTTGACATTTAGCGTTCCCTATGCAAACATAACAACACACATATACATAAAGCATACATACATACATACAATACATATTTACATAAATGCATACATACATACATGTATGAACTATATCCTACTTACAACATAAGCAGTTGAGCAACCATTCAATGTTCTAAAGCTTTCAAAGAGAGAGTTGCTAAAAATATAAGTTTGCAGAGTATTTTTTATCTTCTGTGTTATTTTACTTGCAAGGCTAATGGGATTTATTAAAACCGAATTCATGTACTAAACTACAATCCAAAGAATTTTTGCATATTCGAATTCGAATTTGGTTAGCAGCTTTAGCTCTTCTGTCCTTCTCGCTCTAGCTTAAACTTTGACATATTTACTCTCAATTGGAATGTGAATCAGAATCTGACTTGAATCTATAGAGCACTGCCGCTTCATCTCCTCTCCCCTTCTCGCTCTAACTTAAACTGCTACTTTTCGGACATTATACTCATTATTTCCCAATTGGAATATGAATCCAAATTGGATTCGACTTCACTGAGCAGCTGCCCAGCATATCTATCTCGCTCTAACTTATGCTCAACTGGTGGCACATATTTCAACAGACGAAATCTCGCTAACAAGAAGAGATTTTTAACAAATTCAAAAAGTGTTTCAAAGTTAAGAGCTACTGCTTCCATTACCATATTCCAAAATATGACTTGATGATATAACAACTCAAATATACCCAAAAATATTAAAGCACATACATTTAATATATTCCAGTTTAATTCTCAGCATAATTATTAAGCATTATGCTCATTTAACAAATGAATTCATATTTATTCTTATTTCATTGCCAAGTTGTAAATATTCAGTTGCTGGCATTCAGTGCGAATGGCGAGCTGTAAAACTTGTCTGAAATATTCCATTTACATGTTCATAAAATGTGCCCGAATAAGTATGCCACAAAAATGTTCATAGCTCTGCTGCTATTCGGAATGTGCCAAAAAGTGGTCTAGAAACACGTACTAAACGCTCCCTTGGGCTGTCCATGTGTCCGCTAGAAATTTCCCGGATGGAGATAATTTGTCATTATTTTGCATGCAATCGAGTGTAACGGCAACTCCACCAAAGAAAACTTGGCCAAAAGCTGGAAAAGTTGTCTAAACGCTTTTAGTTGTCATCATTGAAGCTGGCCAAAACTCGAATTCAGTTTGAGTGAATAAATAAATTTATGGCAAATGATTTATGAATGTCATTGCTTAGTGGGTTGACAATTCAAAGGAACTGGAAAACTTTTACTTAAGCTGAAATGGTGGAATTATATAAGCAAGTATTGAGCATATTTATAAAATATATTTATTTATAATACTATACATACATATATGTAGTTTTGAGCTCACATGTACTATGGGCTGAAACTATTATTTATTATATAAAAATCAGATATTTTGAAATTTTGTTTGGCCTTCTTTAGATATTATTTTTTAAATTTTAATTTAAATATTT